GCAAGTGTGAGGCGGGTGAGATCCTGCACATTTGACACATCTGGCCTGATGTTGGCAGTAAGCCTTTTTATTTCATAGGTTTTGACATTTAGTGCATTGCACTGTCAAAGGTTTTTGTCTTGTTTTTTCGAAACGTACTGTAGAGTTTATCAGCCGCTTAAAATATTTTAGTATTGTTTATGGCCCCGTTCAAGGTCGACAAAAAATAAGGGTAGGATATATTTTTTCCCTTGATTGCAGAACGAATGATATATTTCTAATGCTTTGTCATATTTTTCCAGGCCAGCTTTTATAGAATTAGTTGCATGTAGACCTCTTTAGATAACTCTGTATGTTTTTTCATGTTAAAGTTGATATAATTTTAAATCGTAATTTCTGAATTTCAAATGATCAATAACTTTTTTTTAAATTTTGTCTGGAGTTACTATTAATTGTTATTCATTGACTGTCGAAAAGCAAAGAAAATTTGGCTGACCTAAAAGTCTGAAATTTATTGTAAGAAATAAATAAAATTATCTATTTTTGAGACGGAAATCGGTGGCGATTCTGGATCAGAAAATCGTTTTTGATCCATATTGTTATTCGATGAGTTGTTGGCTCCAGCTGTTGTCCATTGAGTCCAGTTTTCACAGATTATTGAGCTGTTTTTATGTAATTACAAAAACAATACAAAAACTATAACTCCGAAATAGAACTATTAAAAATGAACTTTAAATGTAAATTTTACTTAATTTTTGTGAAATTTGGAATAGATACACCTGATGAATATCGGCAAATAGTTATCTGTCCGATACAAAGGCATATTTCTAACTTAACCTGATGATGTGTAAGAGTTATCTGAGAGTAATTACTAAAACTTTTTTTTTTTTAGTGGCGAGTGAGGATGGGAGGTTTGGTGGGAGAGGATCACTCTTCACCACCAGAAGACAGAAATTAAAATTAAAAACTTCGTTCGTCAAGTGCATGCCAAAAATAGTAAATGAAGTATATGGGATTTTTAAAACTTGAAATTGTTAAGCTAATTACATGTTTACGTTTTCAATAACCTGCCGTATATTATAAGAGTTAGTGACGTAAACATTTATTTAAGTTCTTATTTTGAAGGCGTAGGATACATGGATATAAGAATGGCTATAAATAATAAGATCTATAAATAATTAATAAAGTAAGCTAGAATGACCAAAGTCATTTATTGCGTTCGATTTTTTTTCGTATGCGGTTATGGCCGTGCCACTTTTCCGCCGATTTCCTAACGAACTGTTCCAAATATATTAAAAATTAATAAGTGATTTAGAGACAGAAATGAATTTTCTAGATGCTTTATCTTAAGGCGTTTGTTTGTCATTATTTGCAGTTCAATTACAAATGAGGATTTATTTTCAGCATTAATTTAAACGACTTGAACTAATTGAATTTATTGGCATTTTTTATTGCCAAGGCCAATTAGTTTACATAAAATTTGTTTATGTTTAATTATTTTCTGTATATCCAGCGTTAATAAAAGACCAATTATGAAGAAATCAAGCCAACTGCTGAATCGCAGTGACCGAAAAAAATACTTTTTTTTTATTATTCAAATTTACAACTGTATAAGTGATAAATACAACAAGTAAATTTGTACAAGTAACATGACATATACAACATTAAGAGAAACTACCCCTTTGTAGCACTCCTATTATATTTCTATATTAGAAGGTCCCGAGGCCATCTTCGTTTCAGACGTCTCGGAGAGTTATCAGGGATAGAAGAGGAAGCAAGGTTGGAAACAAGACTGTTCGGATGGTTCAGAAGTTTATTATGGAAGGATAGGTATCTGGATTGATCCAAATCGGAAACATATGGAACATGAACGTCGTTATGGATGATTTTATTTGTGACAAAGTAGGGACCATTGAGGATTTTACGAATGATTTTGGACAGTAGGGATTGGATACGAGAGGAATTTGATGATTTAAAAGAGCTCCAAAGCTCAAGCCCGTAAGTCCAAACAGGCCTTATTATATTAAATAGTTGGTAGTTTAGAGCGCTTGTCTAGAAAGTGCTGCATTAGTCAAAACAAAATAAAATAAATTAAAAAAAGTTAAGCTAATCGAACCGTCATGTTTGGACGCTATTTTAGGAGAATACCGCCACATTTTTTTTTTTTTTATGGGAACATAGATCTTTTTTTAATAGGTGGTTACAAGGAACACAGTGATATGAATTTTATAGCGATGTGAAAGATATACGCACGATAGGGGTTTTTGGCCCACATACTACACTGGACCACCAACCTTCCTTTCCCTTCCCCCCAATTTCTTTCAAAATGTGAAAATGAATAAGTGTTTACTTCAATGGCTCATAATAGTTTAAAATTTTTCAACCTTTTAAAATAAATAAAATATCTGAATCTGAATAACTGTTTCATTTACCGAGCCTTTTATGGTCTTAAATTGTAGCATATTTAATCTAGTTTAAAATGTATAGGATGTTTTTGTCAAAAACGTAATCCTTTATAGTTATAATAGAATAAAAAATGTGCGAAAAATTAGTAGGGATTTTCGAAATTGATCCGATGTCGAAAACTGGGATTTTGCATCGCTGTCATATCCTATACAAAAACATAAAAATATACCTTCTAGCCCCATCCAATGTAACATACGATGTGAAATGTTCCTGAGGGTTAAGAAACTCCAACTTTGCCAGGTCGCAGAGACTAAATGGAGTATTCTCTAAAAACGTACACGTCTTGGAAGGCATAGCACCTTGGCAACGAGGCTCACTCCTAATTAAGAAGAGAAATAATATTAATTTGATGGTGCTGAACCTGGCGAAAGACTGGTACTGGGATCTCCGGTGGTCCTGTATTTAAACTAATAAGTTTAGTGGAAGGGGTAAAAGAATAACCGATTCATTAATAAGTTAAAATTGATAACGTTTATATTTATAGATAATTAAAATTTTATTTTATTTTCAATTGGATTAGAATTCTCCATAACTAATTTAATTAGGACCGTGAAATATAGCTTTGTTTACATCATTTACGAAACATCGAGTTTTGGATTTTTAATATAATTCCCTGCTTGGGCTGGGTCTTCTCAGTTATCTTCATGTAGCTATATTGCATCTTGGTTGTTTTATCTATCAATAAACTTATTTCCATTCTAAGTGGTCTTTTGAATTCTAATGAGACATTCATTTTTATTTAGAATCTCCTAGACGGATTACTACGAGCTTCATATCCCGTCCATCTTAAACTCTGTGCCTTCATATGATTAGATATTGATTGACCTGTTTTTGTAATCAGATCTTTATTGATCTTTCTTCTACATTTGTTAATTCTCTGGACTCAGATCGCTGTGTTGTCATCCGAAGGATTTTTCTTTTAAATCTCTCAACACTTTTTTAAAGAGCGTTGGTTATTGTCAAAATCTCACTTCTATATATCAGAACTGGCTTTCTTATAGCGTTGTACAATGTTAATTTGAGATTTTTCGAGATTTAAATACCTTTGAATGGGAGAAGAATGCTCTGTTTCCATTAGTTATGGTCTATTTCTAACCAATGGTCATTCAGAGTCTTTGCGAGTTTCCTCTTGCATGTCCTTTTTCTTCCATATATTATGTGAGTATCGATGGATTCTAGAATTATTTTATTACTATTAAATTTATGATAGGGTTTTGTGGATGTAGAACTTGAGTGGGGGAAGGCTGCGCAAGCACAACGCACAACGATCTTGGATCAACAGTAACTGTCGGTTGATGAAGATCATAACTGCCCTTATCACCATTATCCACAACACACAGTTGGACGAAACGTATTCGAATAACGACTATTATTTGTATTTTATTTATGTGTGTTTATTTTGCCAAACCCCTAACCAGGGGTGCCCGGAAGAAGGTGGTTATATTTTGGGGTTATGAACATATTTTGAATTTTTGAGGAAGACAAATTTCGACTGAGTTATTGATTGGACTAAGAGACAAGAAGAAAACATGGCCGCTGCAACTGTAATTTTATACGCTATACGTTAGTTTCTTTTTTAATTATAACTAAGCTTGCTCTGTTTTTAAGAAAAGTCAATCAAAATCAAATTTCTTGGGAGGAGGGGGGGAAAGTAGGTTCTTGCACCATGGACCTTGGGGTTGATTGGAAACTCTGATGCTCTATAAGTCCAGATTGGTCTCTGTATGGTATTGTAGTTCATTCGATTGTTTCGTCTTTTAAGTGAGGATATGTAGTCCAGAAAAAGTGAGAGTTGGCTACATCGTCTAGTCAGTTTTTTTCTAATTAATTTAGAATGTATGTTCCAAGTAACTCCATTGTCGAGATCTTCAGCTGTACTAATGAAACTATTTAACGTAATTTTTATGTTCAGAAAATGTTTGAAGTCGTCCTAGTTTATGTATCCTTTAATTAACGTCGGAGGTTTAGGTTTAATGAAAGGATTTTTTGACAGTTAAACTAGGATATGATCAGGAAAAGGTCAACGATAGGGAAAACGTTAGAATGTGCATTTGGTAAAGTGCGTATAAACTAAAAAAATCAAGAAGATCGGGATAGTTTATAGTGAAGTTGGCTAATAAGTGGGTGGAATATGGAAAATTAAAGACAGTTTTAAACCTTCAATGAATTTTTGTAGCCTATTTCCACGAGTGCTAGAGCCCATTCTAGAGCCCAACCTTGTATTTTAAGAACATAAAAATCAATATTTCACAAATGATGTAAACAAAACTATATTTCATAGTCCTAATTAAAATAGATATGGAGAATTCTAACCAAATTAAAAAACATTAAAATTTGAATGTTCTCTCTCTCTCTCTCTCTCTATATATATATATATATATATATATATATATATATATATATATATATATATATATATATATATATATATATATATATATATATATAAACGTTACTAATTTTATCATCACAATGATCATTTATTCTTTTACCCCCACCACTAAACTTATTAGTATAAATACAGGTCCAACTGAGTTCTCAAGACCAGTCCTTGACCAGGTTCAGCACCATGAAGCTAGTATTATTTCTCTGCTTGGTAGTAGTGTGTCTCGTTGCGACGTCGGTATGCTTATAATATTATGAGTTATTTTTAAATATAAGAAACAGAGACAAAATTTCATGTTACTTAGTGATTTTTTTTTTAAATTTTTATAAACTCATAATGCATTTATAGTCACGCTTAGTAGTTCATCTGCTAATAACAAAATAGGCAGTTTTTGGCCAAATCCTCAAATAGGTCTTGGTCCGATACAAATCGGTCTTATGGAGCAGCACGTGTTAAGCTATAAAAACACATCTGAAAAAGACTGCAATAGTGAAAAACTATTTCTATTTGAAGCCGACGTTTCGAGCAGGTCGGGTTAGAAAATAAATTAGTCCGGTTGTTTTTTTTTTCATCGTACAGCCAATAAGAAGTCAGTCATTCTTGTATAAACAAATTTGGACTTTAAACGCTCCCTTGTGGTACGCCAATGTGTTTAGTGAAGAAAGAAGGATCAGAAGATTTAATTTTAGTTTACTTATTTTAATTATTCACGCAGGTTAATTTTTATGGATTTGTATAATTGGATTTTTGGAAGCATTTGGGAAATAGGTGTTTGAAACGATATTTTTTACGTTTCTACGATCTATATTCAAACAGTTCAAATAGATTTATTTGATACAATTCAATAAGCATATGCATCTACTGTAAACACATCATTCGCGTAAAAATGACAGTTATTCATTCTGTCCACTGAAAGTATCATATAGTAAAGAGAGATATGAAAAATTGGTTAAAATATTCCTAGATATATCCTATTACTTGGAAATGACAACGGTTATATTTCTTAATTTTGTATAGAAAGGAATTCGTTATATTACAACGAATATACACTGTATACGACCAACCATCATGTTAAATATATTTTTCTATTAGGAAGGTCTGAGGAAAAAATACAGATACGGCTGCGAGAACGTCGATTGCTACAGATGCAACTATTTTCTAGACGACTGCTTCTACTGCTGCGACAAGAAGAAAATCGACTGCGAAAACATTAACTGCTACTTATGTGACATCATCGACTGTGGAGACTGCTGCTGAGCCACCGAAATCTGCGAAAATCAAAATCCAAAAAATGATTAGCAAGGTAAAGATATTTTCATAGAAATAATTAACGAAAATAAATTGAGATACCGATTAATTGTTTAATTCATTATTCTATTTTTTTTTTATTATTGATAGATTTATTTGAATAGTAACAATACAATCTGCCACAATTGGTGTTGTTAATATGCTTACAGTCGTTCTTAATATACAAATTAAAATACAAGCTCAAAAAAATAAAATATAAATAAAACATAAGTAAAAATTAAAAATAAATAAATAAAATAAAAAAAAATTACTTGTTATACATTCATTCCTATATACAATATATACACTCAGCCTAGGGAACTCGGAACCATGCCCTGGCGCGCTCATGTGAAAGACAGGGCATGACTCAATCAGTTCCCAACGCTTCTCTCCCAGTCGCATCACTGTATGAAAGCCAGTGGGGACTGAGTGAGAGCGCTTAAAGTATACTCGCTCAGGACTTGATTGATGAAGCTGGCCACTGCCAGAACTTCAATAATATATTTACAAAATATTGTCGTTTTAATCTTAGGGGGGATTGATAATAAATATGGTTGCAGCTGGAAAGGGATTGTGCTAAGAGATTAGGATGGTGGATAAGTGTTTGATGAAAGTTTATGAATCTGGAATGAATTATGTCGAGAACAAATGTGATGTTGAGATCTTGATGTAAGGTTTTGTTTTGACGTTTTATGGATCATTGGCTATTGTTAGGAGGACTTTCGATTGATAGGATTGGATACGTTTGTTGTTCAAAGATTTGGTTGTCTCCCACAATTCAAGTCCATATGTCCAGGTAGGTTTTAAAATAGTATTATAGACAAGCAGTTTATTCTCAATGGAAATATGTTGGTTTCTTTGAAGTAGTATATATAATTGTCCAAATCGTCGGTTAAGCTCTTGTGTTTTGAGTCTGGTATGAGGGTTCCATGTCAGTCTCTTGTAAAGAACCGGAAGAGCCCAAATACCGGACTGTGAGAAGAGAAAAGGTATAGAGTTAAAAAATATTTGTGGACAGGATTGTGAAGGTGATGTGCTTACACTTTGTTTAATTTACTTTAATACACCAATCCTTGCACCACTGCTCAATCAAGGAAAGATACCATTTCAGGTTCTGAGTGAGAGGTGGCGGTACCATCAGCGAATATAGCAAGAATGGTATTGGGATTTGCAGCGAAGAGGATATAGAGAACTGGGCCCAAGACGCTGCCTTGAAGGACACCAGCTTAATAATTGAAGAGTTATGTGCCGCAGCGTATTTGGAAAGAACGATTGGAAAGGTAAGATCTAAGGATTAAAAATAATGATTGAGGTAAATGGATTTTGAGTTTGAATAGCAAGCCATCGTGCCACAACCAGTCGCAAGCTGTGCTATTTCCAGAAAGGCGGCGGTGAAATATTGCTTGCTTTCAATTACAGAGGAGATGTGATCAACACCTCGAAGGCCTTGTTGAACTGTAGAATGTTTTGTCTATATCTAAAACCAAACTGGGAATTTTGTTGGATTCGATTATAAGCAAGATTCGTTTGAGAAGGATTTTTTTTAAAGATTTTTGAAAGGATCGTTAAAAGGCTTATTTGTCTATAAGATGAAGTGTCATTGATAGATTTGCTAGATTTAGGGAAAATAATGATTATGGCGTGTTTGAATATCAGAGGAAAGTGTGTTGTACGAAGGATACATTGGTAGAGGAAGGTAAGCAATATAATATCTGTTAACGCCGCATAGACATATATCATTAATTTTTTTATTATTAACTTTTTCTCACCATTAACCGTTTTTGAATGTTAATGAGGGAATGAATATTTGTTTTTTTTATAATAGGCTGAGGAATAGTGTTCCTAAAATGTATATAGCTTTATGGTGTTTATATATTTGGGCTATTTTGCGATGTATTATCGCGTGGTATATACACACCAGCCCGGCAGTAATATCCTGTCTTAGGGATTAAGACATCAAAATAAGGCCGATGGGAGTCTAGAGCTGTCTTTCGTTCAGAGTGGACGTTTACCCCCACCAATTTCACCAAGCTCCAGGCCGTCTCACCTCACCTTCACCTCACCAGCGCCATTTTCGAAGATCTGTTGGGCGCAGCTGAGTAATCGGTCGAGATCGATACGACCCCACCATCGATTACTTGACAGCTGGATATCGGAAGGTAACAGGCTGTAGGCAGAACCTCCAACTTGGCTTGTTGTGTTTTTTATTATCACCAAGACATTTGAACATTTAGTCAACTGTTTTCTTCGCTAAATTAGTTTATTCTTTTGGACCATCATTTTTCTCTCTCGTTTTATTTTTAATTTCAGCAATTGATTTTCTTTGCTTTATTATTAATTGTTAATTTGGTTTTATGTTCACTGAGTATTTATTATATTTTGTGTTTTTGTTCATTTCAGTGAACTTCATACCACTCCTTATTTGATTTTAACTATTGTATATATTTTGTATCTCTTTTTTTATTTAATATAACTGTGTGAACATTCAGAAGGGGATTTTTTTATTTTCCATTTTTATATATTGAAATATTTTTATTTTTTTATATTTTCTTTTGCATGTACATTTTTTATGTTTTTACAGGTCTCATTTTATTCACTAATTTTTTTCCCCTTCTTTCCCAACATTTTTAATTTTACTCGAATTTTCCCCCACCATTGAGGAAACGCACCGGAGAAAGATTTGTACTTCGATTTTGAAGTACCCCTACCCCCAACAATATCTTTTTTTAGGATGTTGTCAAAGGATCTGGGAAGTGAGGAGATCAGGAGGATTTTCGGGGTTTCGGTTTATTTATAAGGAATTTGACTTCAGAGTGGTAAATAGCTTTAGAAGGTAAGGAATCGGAGAAGAAAGGAATTCCTTAACTTTGTGTTCATGATGTGGAATAAATGTTTTGGAAAGGTGCTTAGCAAATTTCTCTGCTCTGTTCATATCTGACGATGTCTAGGAACCATGGTCATGCCGGAGGGTATGTGGTACGGTATTTTAGGATTTTTTTTGTTGTTAATTTACAGAGCGAGTTATCAGAAGGAACGTGGAGAGGTGGGAATTAAAGGATTGAGATCTGAAGTTAGCCAATTTCTTTTATGGTAGTTTGGATGTTTGTTCCTTTCCCCATGGGTCCAGGAACATCGTATGGCATGAATGTCGTCAGCTAGGTAATGAAGCAAGGAAGAGGTAAGAAAGCGGTCCAGACTGCTTGTTGGATCGAGGTTGTAAAGGAATTAAAGGCATCATCTAGGTCTTGGTGAGCTTTTAGGAATATTCGGAGGTCAATTGTTTTATTTGTTGTTTGCTGAAAAAGGTTCTAATTAACTGAGCCCTTTATGAATGAAAGTTGAGGTGATTTGGAGAATGGTGATGTGGAAAGGATTAAGGTAAGAGGACTATGGTCGGAGAAAAGATCGTCGGGACTGATAAGGTATAACCCAGTGGTCATAGACCTTTGTGGATCAACAAGTCTAAGAGGTGAGGATAGCGATTGGTCAGTATGTGGGAGTGTTGAGTAAGAAGATTGTGCTAAGATTGCGATTCAGTGCATACAACAATGTTCGCCCTTGGAAATTCGTGGTTCTAGCTCTCTAATTCATGATTAAAAGTCTCTTTATATCTTTATGTTTTTACTAGTTTCTTCATTATATTAAAGAGGTAGTATAATACTTTACTGTTACAATTCTTTATTAATATTTTAGGCATTTCAATTAATTTTAAATATATCTTCTGTTTCGTTCTAGGCTGAAAGGGTGAAGTTAAGAAAAAAAGCTCATCAATTATACGTCTTTTCATTTCTTTTTATTATCGCTCCATCAGTTCTCAAGTGAGGAAAACTTTGTATTCGTCCGGGATGTTAACATCTTTTTTACAAAGAACAATTTCTTTTCTGTAGTCATTAAAGTATAGTTGATGACGTAACAACAGAAATGATGCTATATCTATACAGTTATATATTTTTCTAAGTAATAATGATTTTTAAATATTATTGTTCAAAGTACTAACGAGTGATTACAGCTTGGTTTTTAGAGCATCCCAATATTTAAAAATTATTTGTAATAATTTTTAAAAAGGTACAAACGACAATGACAAAACTATGTATATTATTACTTTTCGACATTAAATAGGTCCGAAGAATTGCAATTTGTAATTTTTATGATAAGTTTACTGTTAAAGTGAATTATTCGGTTCTGGTATAATAATTACAAACATTTAAATAAAAATCACTAAAATGTTAATTAGAAACAAGACTTTAATCTGTATTTTGTTAACTTTTTTTATTTTTGACATTCTTGAATTTCTATCAATTGTGCTATAAAATTAAATAATGCAATCATTAACTAAATAAAGTTTATTAGAAAATTAATATTAATTGTTTTTTTGATTGGTTTTATTATTATTATTGATGTTAAACGAACTTTTTTAAATTTAATTTAAAATCATCATCATCATCAACAATGCTAAAATAACTTCAATAAATCTGTGGAAAGAAAGGAATAGTATTTATTCCTATTAGATTTGTATATCACTTTAGCAAATAACTAAATAAGTGTTAACTAATTGAATCAGACCAACCTGCCCCATAGCCAACTTACACTAATCTCTGATACGGCTTTAGAGAGAAGTCTAAACCACTAAATAGAGCAATAAATATTTTGGAAAGGAATATAAGACATACTCATAGAACAAAATATAATACCTTACAATAATATTACAGTCATCATACCTAATAGAAATCCTTCCTGCCCTCTCTTACTATCCCGTGGTGTTACTCAGGGATCTTCGCTCTCTCCAACTCTTCTGCATCTACATCAACGACCTTCCTCATTCCATCCATCATTCACAATATCACTTAGATGTGGACGACCTCCAAATCTATCTTTTCTTGCATCCTATGAAGACGCTTTAAGCGATCCAAATTCTTCAAGAAAACATTGATAGCATCAGTACTTAGGCAGTGAGCAACGATTTAAAATTGAAAGTTGTGAAGACCAAAGCCAAGCATCTGATTAATTCCACATCTTATTATCCCCTACTCTATCTTAATTACCTACCTATCGGTTTCCAAACTTCCGTTAGAAACCTTAGGGTAATGTTTGATCAATATCTGTCCAGGAATAACCATATTTCCCAAATAATCCGAAAATCCATTGCTACCCTCAAACAGTTCTAAAATTCCATGATTCTATGTTCCTTAAAATCCGTTAGATCCTAGTTTCCTCACTTATTTCCATTATAACCTCGTATACCGAGGACTATCTGGTGGGCCTGAGATCAGATTAAAGGGACTAAAGAATTGCTTCACTAGATTTATTTTTGGAGTCACCAGGCGCTCCCACGTCTCCAGTGGCTCTATCTAGTCTTTCGACGGCAATACTTCCTATGTGTATTCCTTTTTCGAACCTTTTTAACTAAAAAAAACTTACCTTCTCGATTTATTTAATCCTCATTCCTCTGCCCATTTATTCAACACGAGATCCCAGCCCTCAAACCAGTTTATTCCTTCTAATAGAACTGTTTTTATTAAAAAATCATTTGTAAAACGTGCTACCTGGTTTTGGAATTCCCTACCAACCTCCATACGCAAATCCTCATTTAAACATAATTTATCTATCCTTCTCCTCAGTAATCAACCTTCCGAATATGTGTAAATAATGTTAACGTTTTTCAGATCTGTCAGGTGCATTTACTGTTTACTGGAATAGTGACACTCAGATCTCCTGGATTCCTGCTTTCCCTTTCACATGTGTGTGGAAAGACCCAGGCTCGGAGATTTCTGGGTGTAGTATATTACACGGTGGTCCAGACCCTCCTTCCGTGCACCCTCCCCCCCACATCCACATAAATTGTATATCATTGATAACTACCCGTAGAGAACGCTTACCTCATCTAGTTGATGTAGAAATCTGCCTTCGTATATTAGAGAGATATCTAACTCTTCGCCGATCTTCATTTGTGTCAAGTGATAGGTTTCAAGACTGTCTCGTAGATCAGACACTTGTTGTTAATTGAATGTTAAGATTTTCTGATGATGTAGAGATGGTTGACCGTGATATAATATGAGAAGGAGTTGATCGGGGGATGCGGTCAGATAAATACTAAATTATAAAAATAGTATTATTTAATTTGTATGCCAATGTTTCGACCATCTTTGCAGGTCTTCATCAGGGCTACAAAATATAAAAGGTACATGGTAAAAATAAAATAAATGAATATAAGTAGATATAAAATAAGAAGAAATTGTGTGATAAAGAAATAAAAAGATGATATAAGAGATATAGTGGGTGACAATGTAGTTAAAATATCAAGTATTTTATATACCGAATATACAAATAAAAATAGAAGATAAGTATGAATAAAAATAGAAAACAAAGGAGGACATAGCATGTAAGTTAAAAAAAAAAAAACAGATTGCGATAAAAGATGAGGAATGGGTGTATAAAAAACTAATAAAAATTACATTTTATAACTGTAGGTTAATAGATAAAGAAAATTAATGTTAACGAATAAATAGATTGAAAATTGAATAAGTGTTCAAATCCTCAGTCCATTCCCTGTCCACAAGATCTCGACCTTCTAATCTTTACATGCCTTCTCACAGATCTGCCTCATTCCAAAATTCCTTTGTTGTTCGCTCTGTCAATTTCTGGAATTCCCTCCCTATCGAAATTCGACATTCCCCATCCATATCCAAATTCAAAACCCTCCTATTCCAATTCCTATCCCAAGAACAGTCAGATAGTTGCTAACCATTCGAGCTGATTTCAATAGAGAACTTGATACATACAAATTCATTGATTGATTCATTGATACATTTTTATTTTTTAATTCTTTATTATTTTCTTAAAAGTGTATACTAGTGCAAATAGTTTTAAGTGCCTTGTCATAGTATTAATTGTTTTGTATATAGTTTCGTTTTTTTTATATAGAATGTTTACCTTATATTTTTTTACATTATTTCTTTTTTTCGATTGATTTTATTTTGGCCAGATGTGATCTGTTAATTTTGTTATTCTCAAGGGACTGTGTCCCAGAATAAAATTATTTTTCTATCTATCTATCTATCTAAGTATTGATATAGTAAAGCTAAAATAAGAATAAGATAACATAATAATAAGATATCAGTGGATAACAATCTAATGGAGGTTACATTTGATAACGGCATGTAAACAGATAACGGAACTAAAGGTTAAGAAATAAAGATTTTCTATTAATAGAAATATTATAATTAAAGATTCTCACGTTAAGATTTTCTAGTCAGTAGCGATTTCGTTTCAAAGATCATTAAGAGGATTGGTAATAGGATAATTGGTCTGTTGAAAGTCAAGGTGTTCGGGGATTCCCTGGTTTTGGAAATAGGATAATAGTGAGATGTTTTCTGAAAAGATGAGGGTGGGTGGTTCGCAGGATGTTATTGCATGTCGAAGTGAGGAATATAACAGTTTTAGGAAGTCGTTGGAGGATTTGAGAGGTTAGGTGGTCGTATCCAGAAGATTTAAGGGGAGGAACTTTTAAAGCAGTATAAAATTTAAAAAAAACATGTTTTAATTAATATTTAAGTAATAGTTTTTATGTTAATAATTAGAATACCCGAAACGAATAATTCACTTTAATATTAAATACATAAAAAAAAAATCATAAAAATCACAAATTGCAATTCTTCGGAAATGATAGAAGCAACGTCATTAATAATCATCATCATGATATTAAAATTAACTGGGACAAGAAAATGGAAACTGAAAGTAAGAAAGAAAAACAAATTAGTAATTCTACATATTTTTTTTTTTTTGTCATCTGTACCTCCTACCTTATTTTTTCTATTTAAAAAATAAATTATGTAAACATTGTTCTTTATCTGAGATTGAATTTATATCAAATTAGTACAATTTTTAAATATTTCTTTTAAACAATTAAAATTAATATTAATTACATCTTGAAGAGGTGTAGATGCAATAAAAGTTTCAGTAATTCTAAGGTGTAAAATTAAACACACTATACAGAGATTGCCGTCAAAGAAGAGTATATTACTACCTAAAATATATATAATATTGCATATCATTATTTCGTTCATTACATCTTGGATAGGAGTAGATGCACCAATAGTTTCAGTATTTGTAAAATGAATTATAAAAAGATTATCGTCAAAGAAAAGTATATTATTACCTATGCAAGGACGCATAATTAATGACATTTTTTTTTCATGAATGGACTTAACTTAAATCTTAATAAAACATTAATACATATATCAGCCTAGAATAGAAAAGTATTTATTGTACCATCTCTGAAATGGAATAAAGAAACAAGTAGGAATATAGGAAGATCAATGGAATTTGAATTACGAATGAAACAATTAATTGTTATCACAATTTATTTTAGTTAATTATATCAATGAAAATAGCTTTACATTATGAAACTGTTAGTAAATTTCTAACATATATATTATTACCATTGACACATAATCAACATGACATGTATCATATTTTTTCTATTTAAAAAATAAATTATTTAAACATTGTTCTTTATCTGAGATTGAATTTATATAAAATTAGTACAATTTTTAAATATTTCTTTTAAACAATTAAAATTAATATTAATTACATCTTGAAGAGGTGTAGATGCAATAAAAGTTTCAGTAATTCACTATACAGAGATTGCCTTCAAAGAAGAGTATATTATTGCCTAAAATATAGATAATATTGCATATCATTATTTCGTACTTAACGAATATATTGTTTTGTTTTTTTTTAATTTTAAAAAGTAATAATAGACGTAGTTTAGTCATTATCGTTTGTGCCTTCATGAAAATTATAAGGCTTGAGTGGAGGATCTGGCCATTGCCAAAACTCCAATAGATGCTTATTTACAAAAGGTCTCTGGGCCACTGCCGCTTCAACCTTCGAGGAGGATTGTAAGGATGGGTGGTGCTGAATAGAGATTGTGCAAGGGGATTTGGATGATAGGTAAGGTTCTGGTGAAATTTGGAGAATTTTTCTGGAATAAGGTCTAGGACAAATGGGATATTAAGGTCATGGTGTAGGATTTTGTTATTTACATAGAACGGAGCATCAACTATTGTTCGAAGGACTTTAGATTGAAAGGATTGAATACGTTTGATGTTAGAAGCTTTTGCTGTACCCCACAGTTCAAGTCCGTATGTCCATATAGGTTTCAGTATTGTCTTGTAGATAAGTAATTTGTTTTCAATAGAAAGTTTGGATTTTCTGTTTAGTAGTCTGTATAGCTGGCCGTATCGTCGGTTGAGTTCTTGTCTTTTGAGTCTAGTATGTGGGTTCCACGTCAGTCTTCGGTCTAAATGAAAGCCAAGATACCGGACTGTGTCTGAGTAAGGAAGCTGGATGGAATTAAAGTGTACTGGTGGACAGGAACTGCGTCGGAGTGTAAAGGTAATGTGTTGGCATTTAGATTCATTAACTTTAATGCGCCAGTTATTACACCAGTGCTCAATCAAGGTGAGGTGGTTTTGGAGATTTAAGGATGCTATGTTGGGATCTGAGTCGGATGATAGAATAGCGGTGTCATCAGCAAAAGTTGCCAGGAAGGTATCGGGATGGACAGGGATATCGGCGGTAAAGAGGATGTAAAGGACGGGACCCAATACGCTACCTTGAGGAACACCTGCCTCAATTGGATAGCAATGCGAAAATTCAGTACCGCAACGAACTCGGAAGGTACGATCTGAGAGGTAGGAACGGAGAACAAGGTACAAGGACTGAGGAAGATAGTTTTTCAGCTTGGAAAGAAGCCCGGCGTGCCATACCCGGTCGAAAGCTTGAGCTATGTCCAGAAATGCACCCGAGCAATATTGCTTGCTTTCCAATGCTGCGGAAATATGATCAACCACTCGGAGTCCTTGTTGGACTGTAGAGTGTTGTGAACGAAATCCGAACTGATGGGAAGGAAGAGTTTGGGATTCTATAAAGGGTAGGATGCGTTTTAGGAGGATCTTTTCAAAGATTTTTGAGAGAATAGGAAGAAGGCTAATTGGCCTGTAGGACGTTGAGGTGTTGGGAGGTTTGCCTGGTTTCGGAAACAGGATAATAGTGGAATGTTTCCACAAAAGAGGAAAGTGGGTGGTTCGTAGGATGCTATTGTATATGTATGTAAGGAATATGACAGCTTTAGGAGGGAGTTGTCTAAGGATCTGAGAGGTAAGCAGGTCGTATCCAGGTGATTTACGGGTAGGTAGTTTTTGTAAAAGGAATTTGACCTCAGAAAGATTAACTGCTTTAGGCGGTAAGGAGAGTGGGATGGGTGAATTAAGGAATTCCTCTACTGCTGACGTGTGGGTGGGATTGGATTCTGGGTGAGAGGTGAATGTAAGGGAAAGGTTTTTGGCGAATTCTTCGGCTCTATCTTCGTCAGATGCTGCCCAAGAGCCATCACCTCGACGGAGAGGATGTGATATGTGATGGGGTTTTAGGATATGTTTGGTGGTCTTCCATAGGGAATTGTCATGAGAAGAGAGGGAAGTGAGGTAGGAGTTGAAGGATTGGGATCTGAAGGTGGCCAATTCTATCTTTAGTTTTTTGCAAAAATAATTATAGGATTGGCGATCGGTGGGGTGTCTAGTACGTTGCCATAATAATCTGGCACGGCGTTTGGTATGGATTAGGTCTATGAGGTGTTGAGGTAACTTATTTTTCTTAGGAGTTCTTGAGGAGTGGTTTGGAAAGGAAGCAGTCCAGATTGCTTGTTGGATAGTGGTGGTAAAAAAGTGTACGGTATTGTCAAGGTCATCTGGGGTTTTCAGGGTCATTCTGAGGTCAATTTTATCGGTAAGGATTTGGTGAAAGAGTTTCCAGTTAACTGGGCCTCTGATGAAGGACGGTGGAGAAGACTTAGGAATAGGAGCTAGAGATAATTGGAGTAATAATGGACTATGATCTGAGGATAGTTCGCCAAGAGGGGTAAGGGAATGATTGAGGGGACCTAAGCCACTGTGGATGAAAAAATCAAGGATATCGGGATTGCGGTTAGGATCTGTGGGCCAGTAGGTAGGTGAGTTGGGTGGAAGGAGACTGAAACGTTGGGTATTGAGTGCAGACAGAAATGTTCTGCCACGAGAATTCGTGGTTCTTGAACCCCAAACTTGATGCTTGGCATTTAAGTCTGCACCCAGGATGAAATGATGACCTAAGGAGTTGAGGAGAGAACTGAACTGGACTTTGGATATGGATCTGTTAGGAGGGCAATATGCTGATGCAATATAAACACGTAAAAACGTAAAATTATTTATTGTACTACCTCTGAAATCTAATAAAGAAACTAGTATTAATATTATTATTTTATTATTATTATTTATTATTAGTTGTATTAGTTGTACATATTTGTGGCTCACAATAAATTTTCCATCTACCTTAGTATTCAGCAAATATGAAAAAAAAAAAAAAAAAAAAAAAAAAAAAAAAAAAAAAAAAAAAAAAAAAAAAAAAAAAAAAAAAACATACATTATTGTTATTATAACATAATAACAAATACACACACAAAAAAGATAATACAGCAAGTAGCTAAATGCAATAAGGCTCTTGGCCACCGCCTCAGCAGTCTTCTGGGCGGATTATATGGATTTGTGGCAGTAGATAGAGCTTGAGTAAGTGGAATGGAATTTAGAGTCAGTCTGTCATGAAAATTATTAAAGCGGTCAGTGGCAGTTGCCATGATGAAAGGAGTGTTAAGGTCAGTGTGTAACGTGAGATTTGAAACGTAAAAGGGTGCGTCTACAATTTTCCGAAGGAATTTTGACTGGAATGACTGAATGATTTTTATACTTGATTTCTTTGCTGTTCCCCAGTAGGAATATAAGAATATGAATGGAATTTGAATTATGAATTAAACAATTAATTGTTATCTCAATTTATTTTTGTTAATTATATCAAAGAAACTAGATTTACATTATTAAACTGTTCTGGATTATGGGTTGAAATCGCAGCAGTGTCCACAGTACTTGAAGTCGCAGGTGCGGCAGTCGATGAGCATACAGTCGACGGGGAAGTCTTTGCAGCAGTAGTAACAGTCGTCTAGAGTAAAGAAGCAGTTGTTGCAGTCAACATTACCGCAGAACGGGTAGTGCTTATCACCCACTTCTTTCTAAGAGAAAAATATATTTAATATGAGGGTTGGTCATGCATATTACTTGTAATATAACGAATTCCTTTCTTTACTAAATTATCAAATATAGAGGTTGTCATTTCAAAATACTATGATGTAATTCAGTATATTCAAAATCCATTTTTATTTCTCTCTACTATATGAGCCTTTCAGTTGACAGAATGACGAATTGAATGTTTTTTATAAATAATTGTTAATCTGTTCTGCAGTTCTACGAAAACTTACGAATGCGAGAAAGAAATAATAGAATTATACAGTAAAAATAATGGACTGCACGAAGAAAAAACGGGAATGGAAATTTATTTTTTATCTTTTGTAGCTTGGTCGTTTTAACCCTGAAGAAAAACTGGAAAGTGATTTCGACACGTTGGCTTGAAATAAAAAAAAAATGTATTTTTACTTTTATAGTTTTTTTTTTTTCATGACCATCACCTCGGACCCATTCCTCACTAAATAATATCCAACGGTCAATCATCAAGTATTCAACATTTACTTTTACTGTAATTACAAAAGGCAATGTAGATAAGTGAAAGTAAAATGAAATCTATTTTTAATTTACTTGATAAGAAAAGAAAATAGTAATTGTCACTATTTCAATTACTCAAAATAAAATAAAATTATGATAGGTTACTAATAAGAATAAATAAAACAATGCTGAAATGTTAAATAAAGGAAATAATATTTATCTCAGTTAAGAAATTTGAGTCACTGTCATAAAATTAACCAATCTGAATAAATTATACAAAATGTCCTTAATGTTAAAAATAGAATTCATACAAAATAAAAAAAACAAAGATTGAATAACTTTTAGTAGCATTCGTAACTCCCTCTCAATAAAAATAGAGAGAGGGAGAAATTATCGTTTCAAACTCCCTCCTTCAGAATATTTCGAAATACGGAAATAAAATCGATAAATAAAATATGTAAAATAAAATTAATTAAGAAAATCTGAAAGGTGGTTCTGTTTACATGGCTAAACTAAGGCCTTAAATTGAGTTCGCAAATATTTTACTACGGCCTATGTTCCTATTAAA